AGCTTGAGGCTCTGTCTCAAAAAAAAAAGAAAAATTCCATTCATTTCACACAAAAAGAAATTCAGCCACACATTTTTTTCTGACTCCAGGCAGCTGAAATTTGTACACGACCTCATAGTTTGCTACTTTAGTGATAAACAAGCAAGGGTTTAGCTGCTTACTATTATGTATTTAAATCTCCATTCTAAAAGCAATCCTGGTCCGGCTTGGTTTAGAATACAAAAATGAATAAATGTTAGTTGAAAAGATATCCCAATGTCTTGAAGACTTAGACAAAATAGTAAGAATTAATGTATTAAGCATTCCTTTTCAACTAATGATAATTGTTCAACTAATGATAATTTTATGTTTAGTGGAGTTTAAAATGTGGATAAAGTTCTAAAATCGTATTGCCTGATTATCCTTCTACCTACAGTGATAGGATCAATGTCTAACAAAGTCCCTCTTGGGTAGAATCTTTAAGTCCCCCCTCTTAATACTGCTTGTGCTGTTTCCTTTCTTTCAGGCTTTCTGAAAATAAAATAACATTAATATTTTATTCCAAAATCACACGTTACACATTCCAAGAAGTTGAGCTAATTCTTGAATCACTAAATGAATGGATTTAGTTGCTAAGGCAGCAAATACTTATGGCTAAAATGGGACTAATTTTTTTTTTCCTGTATAAGTATTAGGTCAGCTAATTACAATGCTATGGAGAACTTTGTTCCTTATTGCTATAATTTTGGAATGATTCATTTAGTTCATGTTGATGGAATTTATGCTCTTACTTTATGTGCTGTAAATACGCTCTCAGCATTGTCTTCATTTGTCAACATTATTTCTATACTTAAAGAACCCCATGCCCTGAGTTTTAAATAAATTTACAACGAATTTACATATTTTTAATCTATCAGTTTCTATTCTAAAGAACTCGTGATGGAGAATAACTAAGAACATAATTTAGTAGAAGTGGATCTTCTTTATTTTCACTGATAAAAAAAAATTATCTGAATTTCCCAGATATATATTAAATAAATAAATTCAGTTACCAAAATTCTTTGGACAGAAATACTTATCGTTGATATATTTATTAATTTGTGTCATTAAATGTAGACTCTCACTTTTGCATATATTGGCTTGGTTAGGCAGTCTTTTATTTCAAACCCTCCCCCCACCAAATTCTCTTTTATCAGTAGCCTATAATGAATCAAGTGATTTCCGAACGATAAAAAAAA